AAAAAAAACGAAGTTAAATTTCTCTGCCCCCCGAATTGTGTGTACAAAAAATTGGGCTACATGTTTTCCTTATCATGTGGGTATGCAAGGTTAACATACGATTCACAGTGGTACACGAAAATGCACGAAACGGCAGTGGCACTCTCGGCCGAAGTCACAGTGGAAGACCAGTTTGTACATCCCCCTAATGCTAATTTTCAAGCAGACTCGCTCACAAGCATACGAATACATTTGTTTATATGATTCCCCTTCCCACATGGAACAGCCGCTACGGTGAGCAGTTTTTATTCCTGCTGAGTTCAACCATGATACAGCAGACTACTTCAACGTGGAAAGTTATGACGGTCGCAAGCAGTAGCCATTTTTCAGAATGTTCTAGTAGGTATACGTGACAGAGTCCAAGTGCCGCTTAACTAGGCAGAAAAATTATACATGTCCCCAATCATAACAAATTTTGCAATCGATGAAGGTGGACCAAAAGGGATGACTCACCGATATCACCACATTTGTAATTGTAGTATAACCGACATGGTTCTTTTTTGTTCTAAAAACGCGCTAGATTAACGACTTTTTTAACGATGGAATAATCACTCATATTTAATTTGTACAGTTGTAAAAAGGAACCTTTTGAGTAGGAAAAAGTAACCATTAGGGTTACTCACCGTTGACTGTGTAAATTATGTGATGCGTCACGGGTACACATACACATTGTATACCCACTATGTGCTGTACATTCTTTACACGTCTTCATCCAGTTACACATTGATAGGTCCATCGCGAGGCTTCCTTTTTACACCCCACCTCATAAGTATACCATAAAGGTCTCCCCCCGTTGTGCAGATGGAGTTGCTGCGTTTAGCTTAAATGAAGCAAAGCAAGGCATGTTCTCTATGTACTTGTAAAAAGTAGCAGTTTGCAAAAAAAAAAGTTACACACTTAAAAATTCCAGTTGCAAGCAAGGGGGTAAGGAAAAAAAAAAAAAAGGTTTTTTTTCTTTTTAAAATTGTTTCTACATAATAGTTATAACAATGCTGTAAATGTGGCCACACGTTTATAAAAACGATTGGATAATTAAGTACACACAGAAAACACCACATAAGCTATTTTGCTTTTTTTGCTGTTCTGTTTTTTCTGCTTCTACGCATATTTCACTGTTGTTTAAAGCAATCTTTTTTCTTTTTTTTTAAATGACAAAAAAAAACAAACGTTGCTGCCAAGGGGTATGTGAATAATGCCAGTATCACTTTTTTTTTTTTT